AGAGGAGGCCTCCCTTATGGTGCTGCTGGTCATGTGACCGGAGGAGAACCCAGGATTGGGGAAGTGCGGACGGTTCACGATGTCTCAATGAGGATCCAGAGGAGGAAGAACGATTGTGAAATCCATCACAACATAAAAATCTGACAGGCGGGGAATCCGGCGGCCATTGTTAAAGTGCGTTCAGCAGTCTGTACTGTCACTTCACTGACCTCTGTCCAATCAGTGTCTTTAAAGGAGAACTCCGGGTGACGCCATCTTCGGGTCGTTCTGGGTTTTTTTAGTCATTTAAATGCGAAACCCTAAAAAAGGAACAGCCTACTATGATGTGTACACTGTACACGGAAGGATCTGTCACCGGAGACCTTGACGAATGGCAGACTGAACCGGACCTCCCCGGCCCCAACACAGACTGCGCCAGTCCCAATGTTTACCCCAAACAGAGCAGAAGGGACTCCCTCCTGCCCCCTCCTCCTCCCCCGCCATGTCCTTGGACAGACAGGTACCAAATATTTACATCTCAGCACTAGATCTGGTCAAAATGGCCGACATGTCAGTAACAGCACACGTCATCCTCAGGCCAGATCAGGGGACGCGGACCTCCTCAGGGGCCGGCCAGGGCAGATCAGGGGACGCGGACCTCCTCAGAACAGATCGGGGGACGCAGACCTCCTCAGACCCCGGCCAGGGCAGATCGGGGGACGCAGACCTCCTCAGGCCCCAGCCAGGGCAGATCGGAGGACCGGGACCTCCTGAGATTGGGGTGGATAGTGAAGGGAACGTTGGCACCGGTTGCCTGCGGCAGAGATTTCATTGTCTAGTCTTAGATTCCTCTACAATAATCACAAGACATCTGAGTGTAAATGGAAACCGTGAGACTTCAGGATCTGACTTCCCCCTTCCACAGGACACTTCCCCAAATCTGAGCCGGGCACACACATGTACCTCCCGATACCACAGCAATGGGGGAGGAGATATCGTGTTTATAGTACAGAGGAATCTATGAAAGACAAGATCGGAGTCATCAAACCACCAAATCACATAAAGCACTTTAAGGCATGCCAAAGTGGCCCCTCACTCAGCATCACGTCATTGCGGCATGCCCCCGGTTAGCACAATATCCAAGAGGGTCTCAGAGACCGGGGGAGAATATGGGGGGGGGAGCTAGGGGAGCAGAAAC